ACCCACATGAATTTCACATTAAGGGGTTGACGGCTTTCTCACAAAGAGCAAGGGATCGTTCCTCGATCCTGGCCTACTTCAGCCAGGTTGCAATATGAGTCTCCTCGGGATTGGCCTCCGTGGAGGCTTGACCTCCAAGATTGTCAGACATGATGCTGACGAGCAAATATATATATATATATGTGTGTGTGTGTTTATTCCTTACTTATTCAATTACTTATTTGTTTATTTACTTATTTAGCGATTTATCTATTTATGCAGTTATGTATTTAGATGTGTATTTACTTACTTCATAATTCAATTATGTAATTATTTATATATTTTTTCTGCTTGCCATGAGTGATGTGACCGCTTTCAGCATACGAAGCAAGCCTAAGAGTGGCTCAGGGTTCTCGTTGCCGTCCAGGCTTGCCGAGACCTCAGGTTCAGGGCTTAGGTCAGTTTAGGCTTTAAGTGCATTCAAGACATCGAAACGACGATGAGCATTGCAACCCGTTGCTTGTGGCTTCTAGGAATTGCTGCGTGTGACAAACTCCTACTCATCTGAGGGATTTCGCACGTAATATGCAAGCAAACAGTTTAAGACTCGATATGGGACGCAGACATGTGTAGCAGGTATTTCCCAGCAGCCCGGAACGATGCTTCCGCATGATCTTGCTCTGACCGACTGCTCAGGCCACCTACCTGGGTCCATATTCTTGTCAGCTGGCCCGACAGTCTAGACACTTGCACCGACGAAAGTGCCCCTGACATAGCTTCAGAAGCAGATCAAATCAGCATTTTATCTCGACGTCCCCAAGTTGTTCGCGGCTCGTCTACATCAATAATCCGAGTGTTTGTCAGAGGCTTCACACACACGATGCGCGGGAAATTAACACGGAAACTCACGTCCAAGAGTGCTGGGCCCTTTCTTCAGTCTTAGCTCCAGACATGACATAACTTACGTGCATCTGGAGCGTGGTTCTACCACTATGGGCTATTAGACCCTCAAGATCCCTCTTAGGACCCTATTCAGGGTAGATTATAAGGTACCATTAAGGTCTAATAGCCCATAGTGGTATTCGAACTTGCTGCAGGCCGAGAGACGCTTGGTCGGAATATGCTGGATGCAGCATTGACCAACTCAATCGCTGCTTGTTTCGAAAGCGCACCAAAGAGCGTCAAGGCATTGGTGAAATCATCCGCGTATAATCGCCAAACCTGTTCTGTCTTCGCTGACAATACCCCGAGCTCTGATATCCAAAGGGCTTGAAGCATAGAATTGGTCACTCCAAGGGGTAGCGCACGGTACGTGGCGGCCAGTGCCGAGAAGACAATAAAGTTGGGGATTGTCTTCCCGTGACAGTGCCCCCACCAGAAGGTCAAGAACTCTCGGTATGCATTGTTAATATCCTGGCGCTGGATCGAGACGTCGAAGCGGAGAATTTTGCCTGACACTCTGCTCATCTGCATTAATGTCCAACCTCAGGTCAGACAGAATGGCAAGGCTTTCGTTTGCATCCGCGCTTCTGAGGACTGGGATTTCATGCCAAGGATGCACAATCAAATCAACTGCCCTGATGTCTTTGGAGGTGGGGTTCCGCCTGCCGGGAACACCCCCCCGGGCTGTGTGAAGTATCTGATATTACATGATTACTATCAGTATAATGAAAAACATAATGATTATGATTATGATTGTTACAATTATTATTCTGGCTGCTATTGTTGCTATTGCTGTTGTTTTATGACTACTATTGTTGCTATTATTATTATTATGACGATTATTAGTATATTTATTATTAGTAGTAGCAGCAGCAGCAGCAGGAGCAGTAGTAGCAGCAGTAGTAGTAGTAGTAGTAGTAGCAGTAGTAGTAGTAGTAGTAGTAGCAGCAGTAGGAGTAAAAGTACGCCTAGTAGTAGTAGTAGTAGTAGTAGTAGTAGCAGTAGTAGTAGTAGTAGCTACTAGTAGCTAGCAGTAGCTAGTAGTAGCTAGTAGTAGCTAGTAGTAGCTAGCTAAGCTAGCTAGTCAGTTAGCTAGTTAGTTAGTTAGGTGGTTAGTCAGTCAGTTAGTTAGTAGGTAGTAGGCAGTAGGAAGTAGGCAGTGGGTAGTGATCAGTGGTAGTAGGTAGTAGGTAGTAGATAATTTAGGTAGTAGGTAGTAGGTTGCAGATAGTAGGTAGTAGGTAGGAGGTAGGAGGTGGGATATAGGAGGTAGTAGGTACTAGGTAGTAGGCGGCGGTAGGTAGTACAAAGTAGGTAGTAAGCAGCAAGTAGATAGTAGTAGCAGTAAGTAGTTAGTAGTAGCAGTAGTTCTAGAAATATAGCAGTAGTAGCAGCAGCAACAGCATTCATCCTGAAGCGTCTTGGGATGCCCGTGGCATTGATCAACCCAAGTTGGGCCAGGCGGCTGCGATGTACCAACTCACTTGACCTCGGACTTTCTCATATATACGGTACTTGGACAGACCTGAGGATTCTATAGAGGACTGTAAAGGGATAAGAAGGGGACCAAGTTTTTTTGGGTATTCTTTCTGTTTTTTTTGTATTTTTTTGGTTTTCGGGGCCTTAGAGAAGGTGAAAGAGTCACAGGGATAGGCCTTCTGTGGAAGCTGCAACTGGTCTTTTTTGGTGAATTTTTTTGGCTTTAGCTTCATGGCTCCTGCAGACCTTGTGCCATAGCGCACGCTGCCCCTATGACGCATCCCCCCCCACCCATTTGCGAACCAGACGGGGTACCAAACGCACGTATGATGACTTTGCGAAACAGTTTTACAAGAGCTATGTCTTTGACGCAATTGCCTTTTGGTTATTGAAATCAACCACGCGCGGCTGAAAGAGATTGCAAACACAACGTCTTTATCACGGGTCCTGAAAGGATCCATATGGGTTGGGATGATTCTTGAAGCGAGCGTGCAGAGCTAAAACAGAAGGGCAGGTTTTGGGGGTGGCGCAGCCCACCTTTTGCAAACGTAATGTTTGTATGATGGAGTTTGAGAGTTTGAGTAAGAATTATGAGCCTCGACGATGTTCTTTTTGATGCTGCGATGCTCTTGCAAACTAGCCTGCGTGGTTAAACATTAAAAAGCGGGGGGGTTAGGGGTGTTTTTTGGGCAGTGTTGGTTTGCTTCAAGCCCCCGGGGAATCAGCGCGGTTCGTTTTGTTTCAATCGGTTGGAAATTACAACTTGCGCAAGTTGGATTCGCATCAAGCTATCGAGGAATTACAAGTTGCGGGGCTTCGTATTGCGCCAAGCTAGGTTGCAATGTTAAGTCGCAATTTATAGAGGTGCAGAAATACTTTGTCTTTTTTGTTTCTTTGTTGATTTTGTACTGCTTCTTACACCCGTACTTTCAAAATATGTAAGAGGAAAACCACCAATGTTACCACCAATGTTACCACCATTTTACACTAGCAGCATTAGCGTGCAGTACTAATATTGCTAAGTGTGGGGGTGGAGGGGCGTAGCCCCCCCCATTTGCAAACCAGACGGGGAACCAAACGCACGTATGATTTGCGACACAATTGTAGAAGAGTTATGTCTTTGACGCAGCTGCTTTTGGGCACGGCGTTCTTGAAATCAAGCATGCACGGCTTAAAGGGAAAGCGGGGGGGTTGCGGGGGGGCGCAGACTCACTGACCAGTGGGCTGACCGACTGACTGACGGACGGACTCACTGACTGACTGACTGGCCCGTTGGCTGACTGACCAACTGACTGACTGACTGGCCGGTTGGCTGACCGACTGGGTGACGGACTGAACCGAAAACCAAAAAAATACCCAAAAAAACCAAACAAATACCAAAAAAAAACAAAAAAACACCCGATAAGAAGGGCCGGTTATACTTGATGGACAGTTAAGGCATAAGAAGGGCCTGTTAATGGGGTTGGATAGGGATTCTTTCGACCAACTCCCACCTGGTGTGCTCTTTGGGGCATTCCCAGCGCACGGACCACGAGTATACCAGCCGCTTGGCCGGCTGAAACACCGGAATCAACAGCTCAACCTCGACTTTGGCAATATGGCAGCTTCTCCGATAGGGCGGGCTTCCCTTACCGGGATCCCGGGATTATGTATTATGTAAGCGAAGTAGATAGCAGTTGGTTGGATGTCGTCGCAAAGCTCAAAACCGCCACAGAGATACGCTTGCTGGAAATCCTTCCTCAACCAGAAGTTGCACGCCTCGCGCCTGATTAACAGCCAGGGGGCGACCTTCTGCTTGAGCTTTCGAAGGGAACCTGGTCCCCAAAGAGCCCAATACCACTTAATTGAGGAATATAAGAGTTCCTTAAAGGGATTTATAGGGGTTCTATACGGGAATTGAGGAACATGGCTTAAATTATATATATTATATAGGGCTTCATATTATGATTTAAGCTATATTCCTTAATCAAGGGGTATTGGGCTCTCTGGGACTTGTAAAACACGAGGACAAGAAGACTCGAATCACGGAAGTCGGAAGCTAAAAGGTTACCATACTCATCTTAGTAACTCTTGGGCGCTGGGGTTCATATCCGAATCAAGAGCCCATTGCCGATTAGGCGATAACGCTGCTTGGGCTACTTGGGCGAAGGTTTAGCTCATGTTCCTCCATTTTGTCGGCTGCCGCAGGAAATGCAACAGCTGCAGAAACTACACCTGAACCGATCACCAGACGAGGAGCCAACCGACTCCATGCGCTCGTGGCTCGTCTCAGAGACGTTCACCCTGATAGCATCCTGCAGTGACCAACCCGGGAACTTACATTGACCAACAGCATCCAACAGCGTTGCGGTTGCCCAGACTCCGCCCCCACGGCTTGTATCACTGTTGTTATTGTTGTTACTATTATTACTATTATTATTGTTGTTAGTAAGATTTTTACTATTATTTTTGCTGCTAGTCTTATTGCTACTATATCCACCGCTGCTGCGCTCCTTGTCCCTGCAACGCCCTGCTGCAACCTCCATTTCAGAGGCCGCGCCCCGCAGGAATTGTGCAAGGATATGCATAGAAGAGTAGGCAATGGTGAAGAAGATCCTTAATTAACTAACAAACCTTTCAGATGTGCTCTCATTGGTATAGTGTAAGTAGATTCTTTTTCGTAACAAAACATCAAGACTTACCCGATGTCTGCTCAGGGTCATTGTCAGCAGCAGGACTGCCCAAATCCATACCAGCTGCGCTGATGGGAAAAAGATGAGAAGCACCGCGATTGCACTGAATAGAATGAAGCGACTTGCTAAGAGGACGGATTCAAGCACATCCAGGCTCTGAGACTGGCTGTTTGCATAAGGTCGGACCCAAGTGGACAAACCAAGCTGCATGCCAGAAAGCACAGGAAACAAGAGCAGTTTCGCGTTGTCGTCATCGGCAAACGAAGTGTAAGCAGTCAAAACCATCAAGCCGATATCAGCCCGCTTGACAATTAGATCCCAGTACCAATACCGCGGAGACAATCCTTGAATGCAGAATCCATACAGTCTGAAATTTGCAGGGTCATGTCTGTCCGGGAGCATCCATATCTTGAGGAACAGGAGCAAGGGAAGCCCCAAACACCAAAGGAGCAGCCCCATAGCAGCAACTGCAATGAAGGGGGTGTGATCCTGAGACCAGCATTCCACATCAGGAAATGGAAGCAGGCGCGCCACATAGTCCTGCTGCCCATCTCTCTCCTCCAACCTAGGTCATTGTTGGGATAATAGTTAAAAGCTATAAAATATTATTCCTTAATTGTCGTTAGTACACTGAAAAATGTAACATGTTACCCAACTATGACCCAGCTGCATGGGTGAGCAACGGATCATTTGTAGGAACTTGGACAAGAGCTCCGGCCAAAGCGAAAGCTGGGTCAGCCAGATTGCAGGCGCACTCTGTTTCAGGAGCTCCTTTAAGGAAGCATAAGGACTGAAAAGACCAAAGTTCAACTTCGATGCATCAGAAGCAGCCTTCCGTCTGAACTGCTCGCATGCTTGATGTAAGAAATCGTCGCAGATGCCTCCACCATTCTCGAGCATGCCCTTAAGCTGCATGCAGTCTGCTGCCCTCAGAGCCACGGCGGTTGCCATCTCTTCCAGTGGCATGCTTTCACGGTCGGCCATTGCGTTGAAACTGCCTCGACAGGAGGAGCGCTGGGAGAATTTGCCAGGTTTAGCGTGGGGATTAAGTCGCAGACTACCACTCCGACAGGGGTCTGTTGTGTCACACAACCCAACTGGTTTTCGCTCATATCCGGCACCTCGCAATTTCCAGGCAGCGGCACCAAGGACCATACGCCGAAGAGCAGGTAAGGCCACCTCGCCATCTGCGGCCTCCAGCGCAAGGGACTTGCAGGCACGAAAGCACTCAACCCCAAGGTCCGAAGGGTCAAGATTCGGCTGAGAGACACTTTTCAACGTGGGCAGAGCGATGCCCTCCGTCAACACCTCCCATGGAGCCTCAGTAAGTATCTGTGGAATCCTTGACCTATTCTGAAACTCATACTCCAGAGAGCTTCCAACCATGGAGGCGTTTCGAAGGTGCAGGAGCTACTTGCAACCCTAAACCCTGAACCCTTACTGTGTCAGCCCTGTCATTGATGTGATGCTTGCAGCCGGCCTCCCAGTCCGCCCCAGCAATGAATCCTCAGCGTTCGGTATCTTAATCCCTACATGCAGCAGTTTTTGGAATACCTATGATGATGATTATTATTACTGCTGTTGTTGCAGGTTATTCTGTATTCTACTTTGGGTGCGGACTACCGAATGGGGGCTATGTAGCTTTCGGACAGAAGATCTCATAACGTAATTTTTCGCCCACTGCCCAGACCGGGAAACCTTTCTCATTGGACCAAACACTTCAAACCAGAGACTCAAGCTCACTCAAAGTGGCCGCCAGATATCTCCGAAACGCAGCTTGCCAAATCCGAGCCAGAATCTGCATTAGCTTCCTCCACGTTCGACACTGCACATTGAGCCAAGTTCTTCCGCTTCGCCCGCTCCCGAGCGCAATCATTGAATTCAACCCCGAGTCTGTTGCCAACCGGCACGACGACATACACAGCAACAGCGCACACCAAGATTGTGCCCACCAACGTCAGAATCGGCAAAACGAGGTAGTATAAGCTTGGCACCAGCCTCTGCATTCCTTTGTTGCCTTCGTACCATGACTGTGCTTCACATGCGGCGGCGAACTCCACATTCACCTCGGCTCAGCTCAAACTTCTACGCGTGCATAACAATAACTATTGGTGTTATTTTTTCTTGTTAGGCCATGGCTGAGGTTCCACTTTGTCTTAGTTTTCCTGAACAGGGTAGGGTTTGGTACTTTGAGATTTTGGTGGCTAAAGACCGGCCTTGGGCATGATGGAGATCAGGGAGAGGAGCATCTCCAAAGCTTGAGTGACTTCTCTGGGCCACTGGAAGGTCAGGAGACGGCCTTGGGAAAAAAATGGAACTCTTTTGGGGAGCGACCTTATGCAACTCCATACAATGTCCCATGCCACAAGCCGTCGCAAGCCGCTGTGAGCAGGCCAGCAGGTAATGCGTCACGGCTAGAAGTGTCCAGAAGGACCAGTTGACAACGGGCGTACGAAGATTTAGGTGTGCAGGGTGAGATGTGTGTCCTCTATCTCCTCTAACCAGTGCCAAGCCAGTTCACTACTGCCCCATGGACTCATGAACCTGACCGGCACCTCCCCTTTACAGCAGTTTCTCTGCAGAATGTAGGGCTTGTGGGATTTGCCCGACCTACTGCAGCCTTGCTTTGTGGATGTTGTCTAAGGGGGGAGGCCGTGAGAGTTGGAGGGCCTTTTCGCTTAAGGATCTCAAGTTGGTAGGTGCTGGGGATGTAAACATCGTTCAGGGTGGACGTGCGCAGACATCCGCAAACATGTCGCGGCGGCGACTCACAGCAAGTCTCAGCTTCTGGTACTGTCTGAGAAGCCAGGCCACAGGATGCACCGGAGCAAGCTTGGTCTGCATCTGCATCCGCCGCTCTCACCGACCAGCTGAAGGGGTGTAAGCGGTCGAGATCAAAGTCCGTAAGCACGGAGCACGCATCCTTGAATCGCAGAAGCATTCGGATCATGGGAGAATGAAGATTAAAGCTCACCTTCCCAGCCGATCTTGCGGAAAAGGCTGCCATTGCAAAGTTCAAGAGAGCAATCCTGCCTGTGTCCGCCGCAATGGCAAGTGCGAGCCACGTCGAGCTCTGACTCATGCAATCTTGGCAGGGCCGGAGATACGCCCATCTGGCTTTGCCTTCTGCACACTGGCCACAAAGCCAGCCTGTGTAGCCTTCCTCGCATTCGTTGGAATGCTGACATTGCGGAGACTCTGGCTCCTTCCGGCACCGGTCCGAACCTCCCCGGCAAACGCTCTCATTCTGCGACAGGAAGACCATGCACCTGACAGCCGAGGTCTGGCCAGTGATGAAATATCCTGGGATGGCTCGTGGCTGGGCATGCTTCCCATCCTCCCACTCGCCGGGGCAGGTCAACCCGCTGTAGGCTGCGCATGACATGCACTGCTGCAGGGTCTGATCACCGGTCAACAATGCATGGTGACCGGGCTTGCAGAAGCAGTCTGATTGAGAGGTCGAAGCGGGATGGCTGTCAGCATTCACGGGGCATCTCTGAGAGCAAAGAGCGTTGCTTTGGCTTTCTTTGTAAAAAGACCGTGGGCAAGGCACGCAACCCGATTCTTCACGCTGGTAGCCTCCATCACAGAGGCAGGATGCATTTGTCCGCGATCCCGTCGACTCTGTTGTTGAGTGGTGTGGGCAGAGAGCTGCTGTCCCAGATCCATCACAAAAAGAACCCATCGGGCAGAGGTTGCAGCTACCAGCTTGCTCGAAAAGCCCGGCCTGACACGTGCACTCTTCCGACGAGACGGCCCCTGATGCTGAGGTTGATCTTCCCTCATCACACGGTGCGCATTCTGTGTTTGCAAGATCTGATTTGTAGAATCCCTTCGGGCAAGGAAAGCACGCTTGCACTGTTGGATCGTAACGAAAACCTGGCTTGCATTCGCAGCCGCTCTCCATTAGCAGTACCACACCTGGTGGCACGGCAGCGTTCGGCGAGCAAGCTACAGTGAAGGGCGACACTTCGGGACCAGCTTCCGTTGAATTGACATGTACACCAAGATTGCTTAGCCGAGCACGGGCATCATCAAGGACTACTTCCATCATATCCGGGTCCAGTTCTTGTGCTGATGAAGTTGCTAGTGCCCAAGAAAGATGCTTAAGAACAACGCCAACGGTCTGGTTGACACGTTCTGACAGGCGCCGAGCCTGCGGCTGTGCAAGCAACACCACATGGTCGGGGTCAATGTTTGTGGACTCTGATATGCTCCGGCGTAGTGTAGACATCGTCAGGTGATCCAGGCTGTTTGACGAAGAGAGGACTAGACTAAAGGTAACAGTCGGGATTTCTGACTGATTCTCGAACTGCAAGTCCGAGAATGCGCTGTCTTGAGAGCAGGAACTGTTTGAAACGGAGCCCTCAAGATGGGTGTCCGTGCCGCTTGGACATGCTGAGCAATTGAAGTTCCCGGCTTCTGACTTGTACGTGCCTTTGCTGCAGGGAGCGCAGCTCCCAGAGGAATCGAAGAATCCATGGGAACACACGCACTCTGAACGTTCGGAAGAATACCGACTGATCGTAGTCTGACGATCCGGGCAGTGAACTCTCGTCCCAAGCTCGCCCCCAGCGCAGTAAAACCCCCTGCCGCAGACCACACACCTGCCAGCCATCAAGAAAAATCCTCTCGGACATTCCAGCTGCAAGTGTCCAGCCTCGGCTCGGAAGGAAATCAGTGCTTCGCAGGATGCTTCTGCAGGGCACCAGCAAATCTTATAGGTCCCTGGGACAGCATTGGAAGGTATCTGGCCGACATCAGCATGCCAAAGATCCCCCTCCCGTCTCAGCAGGATGGGCTCTTTGGGAGTGCTATAGCCCTGCAAGCTGACGAAGTCACCCATCAATGCGTCGCACCCTGATTGCCTTGTCAATGCCAGCTTGTCATTGACAGCCAAGCCGGTCCCTAACAGTTGCAGAATGCAAGTGCTGCCCAGCACACAGGTGTTCATCTGTGAGAAGGGACCAGTCACTGTCAGAAGGCCTACAGGCGCGGCAAAGGCTGAAGCTTCACTGCATGCTCCGATTTCCGAGCTTTCCCTGCAAAAGCAAAGGCGGTATATCCCCACTCGAGGCTGCAGAACTTCCCCGTCGCCCAAGAGCTCGAAGCCACCATTATCCTTGTTGGAATGGAGCAGCAACATGTGAGAATGAAACCACTGGATTCACCGGAAGCGCACTTTCCATGCTGGTCTGCCTAGCAAAGCAGAAGTCACTCGCCCACAGCTTCACGCAGCCAAGTAGCGACGGCCTTGGCAATGCCTCCACCGGGAAAGCCCGGCACTGCCTGACCCGTGCCACAAGCGGACAAAATCATGATCCTGTCCTCCAAGCTTGCGCGAACAGACTGAACAGCGCCAAGCGAGCAGCGCTGCCCAACGGAGCAGCTGATCTCTTGGTTCGCTAGAGGTCCCTGTACACGCAGCTTGCCGAAAGGAACTGAAAAGTCTTCTGCGTTGCAGCTGTCGCGTCCACACCAGCAAAGGTCATGTCCAGCTTCGTTAGCATTAGCGGATATTCGGAGATCGACTCCCTGCTGCAGGTTCGACTCCCCGAAAGACAAAACGAGGCCGGACGTGCCCGGAGACGCGCCCAGGCTGGCAATGCCATTCAAATTGCTGGGGGAAATCTGCTGGAACGCTACCGATCCGCAACCGGTGCTCCGCAGCACCACCTGGTCACTGGAGGACAAGCCCACACCAAACAGTGGCTGGAGATCTGTGCAATCTCTGCCGCGCACACACCAAAAGGAATGCGCACTCGAAGGCCCACGGACCTGGAACTGTGGAAGCAACGGGTCACCCCGCTGGTGAGGATACGCGACCCAAACCTTCTTCAGCTACTGACTGAAACCCCGAAGCCCCCTAAAGGAACCCTAAAACTCCCTTAAAACACCACAGCAGGACTAGGCTTCTGACTTTCTTTTCGTGGTAAGCATTGTAGAGACCCCGATGAGTTTTTTTTTCGCTTTTGGAGCGTTTTTTCCGAGCGATTTCCAATAGCTCTTTGGTAGCCTTCTGTTTGAGGCTAGCTAGGGTGCAAGCGGTTTGGGAAGGCCTTTCGTCTACGTGGCAAGCGGTTTGTAAAGCTGTCTGATTGGGTTGGCTCGCTAGGCTACAGGACAAACATAAGCATTTGCCGAACCACTCCAAAATCACTAAGACACTAGGATGTCGCTCCAAGTTGGGCAAACACAAAACAAAACTGCGCCTAAACTCTCCGAAAACACTCCATTCCTACAAAGTCGTGATTCTGGCTTGATTTTCTAAGGATTTCTCAAAAAATCTAGGTAAACATCAGATAAACCACTCCATATTCACTCCAATATCACTGGAAAACACTCCTGGTTTTGCAGCAGCGAACAAAATCACTGCGCGAAATCACTCGCTCCTGGTTAGGCAATAATAGGAAAAAAACACTGTGCCGAATAATCGCTCCAAAATCGCAATAGCACAAAATGCAGTGCCGAATCGCTCCAAAAACGCTCCAAAATCGCTCGTTGCCTGGGACCTAGCAATTTTCTCCAAAATCGGCTTAAGAATGTTAGTTCCTGGGGAAGGAGCGATTTTGGAGCGCTTTTAGCAAAAAAATACGCTCCAAAATTGCTCCAAAATCGCTCCTGGTCTTGCCAAAGCAAAAAAAAAGCTCTGCCGAATCGCTCCAAACTCGCTCCACAAATGCTCCAAAATCGCTCCTTTCTCCAAAATCGCTCCAAAAACGCTCCTTCAGAAAATTGCTATTTTCAGCGATTTTGGAGCGTTTTTGGAACGGTTTTGGAGTGTGTGTTTTGGAGCGATTTTGGAGCGTTTTTGGAGCGATTTTGGAGAAGAAAACGCTCCAAAATCGCTCCTTCTCTTGGAAATAGCATGTGTTGCTCGATTTTCCAGGCAAAACCGGAGCGATTTTGTACCGTTTTTTGCTAAAAACGCTCCAAAATCGCTCCTTCCCTAGGAAATAGCTATTTTAAAGCGATTGCCGAGAAAATTGCTATTTCCTAGCGAAGGAGCCATTGGAGCGTTTTTGGATAGCCATTCCCTATAGGAGATATAGTTGCTATTGCGATTTTGGAGCGATTGGGCACAGTGCTTTTCCTACTGCAAAACCAGGAGCGATTTCTGAGTGATTTTGGAATGATTCTGCGCAGTGTTTTTTCTACTGCAAAACCTGGAGCGATTTCTTCAAATGCTGTGGTGGCCTTTCATGTTATCATCACCATGTTCCACTCATTCCACGCGGAAAACAAAACTGGATCACTCTGGCCGTCCTGGCCGATGAGCCAGAGCATCGGACATCGGCTGCAAAGTGCAACTCGCGATTCCGAAATATATTGCCGGTGGAAAACAGTTCGAATCAAGATACACCAGAGCTAGCCTTTCTACGTCCCCCCTGAGCCCGTCATGTTCCACTACAGTACCAAACGAAAGCACTATAAAAGAGCTCCAATCAGAGCTAGCCTGAGCAAGCCTATGTAAACAAGACTATCCCGAAACGCTCCGAATTCGGTAAAAAACCTCATCTTGATGGCCACAGTGATTACCACAAAAGGAAATTTTAAGACTAGGCTTACGCTTGGAGTTTGTGTCTGCGGACCAACCAGGCCCTGGAAGCAGCCGAAGCTGCTGTCCCAGATATAGCCCTGACTCCTGTCACAAGACCAACGTGCAACTAGAAATCTCCTCCTCCTGCTCCTTCTCCTCATCATCAGCAACATCATCATCCTGCTCGTCGTAATCATTAACGAGTTTCTTCAGCTGGTACTGATGATATTGATGGCAGGGCAAGAGGCAATAGATAACACTAGCAACAACAAAGGCAGAGCTAGCCTGAGCATTATAACAATATGGGGCCCAAGACCAAAAAAAGAGACAAAAAGAAACTGCAGAAGAACGCTGGTTCATCATGATATGGCTAGGCGGAGACATACACACGGAAACCTCGGAAAGCTCGCGGATCTCCCAGCCTGTAGTCGGCCAACGGCCATCTGGAACAGCTGCAAGCTGTCGCAAAGAATTCCATTGATGTTGGCACACCAGCAGACCTGGGCCGTGCTTTCTGCTGCATGAAGACCAAGGCCCCTTAAACCTAAACCTTGCTTGAGACCATCACTAGCACCACTACTCACCTGATGAGCGCCCGCCTGGTAGGAGCCGCCCTCCGGTGCAAAATCGGAGCCTCTGCTTCCCCAGGTGTACACACCCTGGCTGGCATCTCCCGAAGCTCCCTCATTGGGAAGGTTTGGTACAGTCCGGAGGGCGCCCTGACAACTGTCAGACTCTGTCACTGCCACACGATGTCCGTCTTGCAGATTATACCCGTTGATGGTCACAGAGCAAGGAATGCCAGATGTACATTGAAGATCTTGCCCATCCTCTGGGCGAATGCACATGCCTGCATCTGTGGATCCCACCCCCTGTGTAGTGGAACCTGGCCAATCAGAACTGCACTCATAGCACGTGTTCGGTATCTTGGTGAAGGTGCCCACGGGGCATGGTTCGCATGCTCCGTCGCTTGCAATGTAGAGGCCAGCTTCACACGAAACCTGCATTAAGTTGCATCTTTAGATGCGCGACTACAAAACGGAAGACCCGGTAGGGAAGGTTTAGAGTCTGGAGAAGCAAGGATTGCTGAGCAATGGGATGATGAAGAGGGAGCCCCCAGATATTTAGGCGATGGAATCTGGAATCATGTCGCCCGGACAGGCATTCCTCCCAAGGTGGGGTCACTCCAAATGATGTTCCTTGTAGGTTTGAGGAGCCATCAGTGCCTCTGCAACCGCAAGACCGCAACGCCTACAGTTCCAGGTTTGCTCACCTCTGTACACCACCAGGCCTTGGGAGTCAGGACATGGAGGTCATTCATCCAGTTGCCTCACACCGCGACAGAAACGCAAACACAGCTCTGTTATCTAAGCAGAGCCTGCTGAACACACCATCACTGCCAGGGCCCCTGCTGAAACGGTTTTCTCCACCGAAGACATAGAGAGATTCGATGCTGTCTGCCCAGGCCACTCCATGAAAGTGTCCCTTGTCAGGACCTTCGCCAGAAGGGGACAGCTGATACCACCTGTCTACCTGGCCGCAGGGACTCCAGACCAGTCTGGACATTCAGCTTTTCATGCTAGACTGTCAGACGTTTTGCGAGAGCCTGAAAAAGCCATGCAGTAATGCAAGCTCGCTAGTGTGATGCACTCTTTTTTGGGGAGTGCCGTCTTGCTGAGTGGCTTGCTGGTACAATGACTGCATTCAAGGTCAAGTGATGCATAGCTACGTGCACCCTGAAGACTCCGATACAGCATGCGCTGGGGAATATTTGTTCTTGAAACACCCATGCCTGGCGGCTGTAGAGGTAAAGGTCGTTGTGCTTTCCGGCATAGTTCTCCCCGCCAAACACGTACAGCCCGTCAGGCGTCTCGGCCCAGACAGCTCCATGATTTACGCGGGCGCTGGGTGCAGCACCTGCTGCAGTGACCAGCAGCCACTCATTGGCCTTCTGTCAGCTTGCAAAGCAAAGCGTAAAACTTCATGACAAGAGAACCATTCTCTCGGTTTTGAAGAAAAATCTTGATGCGTCGAATGAATGCATTGTGCTTTCAAGCATAGGCCTCGTGGTGCTGCATGTTCTGAAGAATTGGAGACTTGAAATCAACAACGTATCCCTGCTCCCCTACATAGTCCACCTGCGACGCAAACACATTGTGCCAGACAGGATAACAGATGCTGAACCCATGCATACAAAAAACGAGTTGGTCCTTCACAGGATTAATACAACATAAGCTATAAACATCAGTACATCCAGAGCTTTCACCAATTTGCGTCTGTTCTGTCAATTCTTGACCATTCTCGCCTTAGACCGCACCGAGCGCATGAATCGTGCAAACGACATATTTCGGGCCTGTCGACTGTAGAAGAAGAGGTCCCCCAAGTGACCTCAGCTTCAGCAAGATCAGAAGCTCCGGCTGAAGAGCGATATCTCAAGGCCATGACCCCCCGGTCTCCAGCCCCCGAGGCCGTAGAACCCATACGCAGCTTCACTCCAACCACCCTGGAAACCGCAGCACTCTGGTGCTGTGCCGGTGGGGGCCAAATGCTCCCAGTTGTTCGCCTCACAGAGGCGCTCTGTACTTTCTCGTCATGGGAACCCAGAGACTCCAATATCCCTTGATTAAGGAATATTCCCTAAATTGTAATAGGGATCCTCAATAAGGGACCCTTCATTTGGAGACTCTGGGAAGGAGTCAGGCTTCATCTCGTCTCCGTTGCATTGGCCTTTTTCTCTAGCTGCCTTTGTTCGTCCTTCACTTCTTGGTCCTCGGTCTCTGCATTTAACCTTCTCTTCTTGTCCTTTCGCTTCATCTACATCAGCATCTTCTCCTCCACGCTTGCATTGCTAGTCTCCTTCCTCTGGCTGATTCAACTACTGCAACATGGGCTTGCCATGATAGACCAGCAGATGAAGGCCATTGTATAAGGCTTGGCAGGCCTGTGGGCTGTAGAAGTGGACATTCTCCAGCAGGCCTGGCACTTTAGGGTTCAGGGGTTTAGGGGTTTAAGGTTTAGGGTTTAGGGGTTTAGGGTTTAGGGGTTTAGGGTTTAGCGAGACAAACCGAAGAAGACCTTGCCGGAGGTGCCCCAAGCTGTACCAGAGATGATGTAGAGGCCCCCGTCGGCCTTGCTCCAAGCCATCCCTTGGTTGGAGTTGCGCTCGGGACGATCACCAGAAGGCGACAGCTCTTGCCAGGCGTTTGCCTTGCAAGCTGTCAGTGCTGCTAGGCTGTCTTTTTCTTCCAACTGAATGAGCCTGTCTCAGCTGTTGCATTGGGTCTAAACAGCTGGATGAACGACCCGGCCTGGCGGCTGTAGACATGTAGATCGCTCCACCAACCTCCAGCACTGCAACCCACACACTCAGCATCAGCCGGAATCGAGCTGGGACCGTTACAGACTGCGTAGATCTCATCAGCTTCATTGCTCGTAGCACGACATCCATCAGCGTCAGTCTTGCCGATGGAAGCGAGCTCCTGCCACGCATTCGCCTTGCAGCACAAAGCGTTCTGCTCCTTCGCAGTCACTTGTGAACAGAGAGTTTAGTAGCATCTCCCTGCAGCCTCGCGATCATAGAAGTGGAGATCTTTGAAGCGGCCTCATTCTTCTCTGCGCAGCACGACAATGACCGAACAATATGAGGCCCTGGCCAGCGCCGTCGCGGCCGGCAAACATGTACAGCCCGTTATGGGCCGTGCTCCATACAGCGGATCCACATTGTGAGATTGAGCGAGGCTCAGGAATATTACCACCAGCGCTGAGCGGCCGCCATTCGTTGGCAGATAGTCTTCGCTTTGCAGCCTGAGGCTTGTGCAGCATGAGGGACAGCTGGGAGGATGCTTAGATTGTCCAGGATTCGGGGGTGCTATGCCTTGCAAGGTTACCGAGCGACCATCATAAGTGAGTCCATCAAGCCCATTCCGCTGGGGCCAGCTGGGGCAGCGTGGTGAAGCATGCATGGGAAAAACTCACATCATGACGTCTTCATGCATGAACGTCTCCGGGTTCTTGATAAACTCTCAGCACGTGGATAAAACCTTACCTGGGTGCGTAAATCATGAATCTCGTTTGCTATTCTTTGGGTCTTGTTCGAGAAGCCCACTTGCGCAGGCCTGTGGCCAGAATGACAATTTACTCTTTGCATCTCTTTGCCAACTGCCACTCTTCCCCTTCCATCTCCTGCGACGTTCCCTCTCTGACCCACCACTTTTCTGTGGTACAGCGGCGATGCACGCCAAGCTAACGGTTCTCCGGCATGAAACATAACTTGAACTTTGTCCCCATGGAAGTAGGGGACATGCGTGCAGGGATTTGAAACAGCAAATCTCACTAACATCTCTGCTTCGACATCCCAGTCCAATCATCCTCATTGGGAGACGCGACAGTGCTGACCATGATGCTGGCCCTCTGGTGTCTCTTCCAGCTAGAAGCACGTTGACAGGAGACAAAACCACAACGTTGCGAAAAAAAGTGCGAGCATGCTGACGCTGCTTTCGGAAATTAACCGACTGTCGTACTGTCGTACACCCACTGCACATGGGACTCACATGGACTCACTCAGTGTACACTGAAATGGCATTTGTCAAGGGCTGATACTCACACGGATGTTATGCAGTCTTGTGGATTTTTTCTTGGAAATACGTCAGCAACAGCACTGTAACCATGCGAACAGTTGCTTCATCAAAATGCCACAGACAGCGAAGTGGCACGACGGCTGTTTTCAACCTCAAAAAGGGCGCCCTGGTGAGCCGGTGCCATCGGTCAGGCATACAGCTATACACATGCCGCTCTCAAGCTTCTGCACACGCGGATGAGTTTTCACACCCGTCCTCGGCTCACATGGCGCTCTTTGCCCGAGCCTTCTCTTTTCTAGCGTGCCGCCCGATCTGGATGGCAAGCTTGCGGTCTCGCGCTTCAGAGGAAGGCTGGAGCTGCCATTCTCCTTCGCATAGAGCTCGAAGGAGAGGATCGCGGTCGCATCCCAGCTTCGTCAAGACGTCGGCCAACATCTGTGACGTATCCACCCAGTAGGCATAGGAGGGAGAGTTGTCTTCATAGTTGTTCTCCCCGATCATCTCCTTAATCTGGGCGATCAGGATGCGGACTCGTTTATCCTGCGGGGCTCCGGTGTCCTTGTTCAAGGTCTGCTCCAAACTCTTGGCGTCGGTGAAGCACAGCGTCTTTTTCTTGAGGTAGAGCTCGTCCAGGTCTTTCATCTTGACGTCGGGGTGCTTTATCTCCATCAGGAGCGCACGGAGAAACTCCGTGGCTTCTGCTCCACCCAAGAACCCGTTCGCTTCTGCAGCCAAGGTGCTTCTGCAGACTCTTTTTATACTACCGGAATACGCTTCCACAATGTGGATGGGCGCAGGCCCGCCTCGCAGGATGTCCTCGGTGGTGAACCCCACTACATAGCCGGACTGGGACTTCGATCCTTCCAGGTTGGCAAAGGAGCTGTCGGCAAAGCAGAACACGGCAGCGCTGTCGAGGGTCAGGTCCTTGTGCTTCACGAAGTTCCAGGGAGCCTCAGACGAGTCCTTCAGCAGTTTCACGGCCTTGTTCAGCTCGACGACGTCCTTGACAGTGGGACACCCCATTGACTGGGCAGCGATCGAAACGTTGACCATCAGGTCAGGTCTTGTTTGTCGAACTACCCATCCAAACTGACCAATGAGGCCACGAAAGGCTGTCTTCTCGGCCTCTGTCAAAGGCGACGATGGACTCTTGCGTCGATCGGTGGGCAGCAGCATAAAGTCAATTGCCTCGATCGCGTCCATCTGATTCAACGACACCTTTTGGTCATCCTGTTTTACATTTTTTCCACAAAACCGGAACTCGCCTCTCTTGATTGTGAGGTGGAGCTCCTTCTCCATCGAGTGAATGGTGCCAAGGAACTTCTCTCCTTCCCCTGCTGCGTAGAGGTCGTCGACGTGGGTGATCAGTACTCCAAGCAAGGTGGGGCCCTCAGCCAGGATGAAGAACGCTGGCTCGATCCGTGACATTCTCCAACAATGTCCCTTGAGTGTCTGGTGTAGTTTTCGCCACCAGGATCTCCCGGCATCTCGGGTCCCGTAGATCGACCCCTTGGCCCGTAGTAGGTCTCCCGGGGAAACTCCGGGAGGTGGTGGACGGGGTGGTCGCAACACCAAAAGCCGACTAATGCCCTGGGACTGCAGGTAGGCTGTGGAGGCATCGCAGGCCAGTATCTCCCACCCCTTCATTACGGCAATCGAGCACCACGTTGAAGGCCAAGAGAGATGCCGTAGGACTATCTGTCCTCATCTGGGTAGCGTCCTCTTGGTGACCCTGCACGACCAAGCGCGACTTTGCGGAGAAAGGGTACTCTTTCATCACCGCCTCCTTGTCCTTGCCGGTCTTCTTCGAGAGGTGTAGGGCCAGCAACCTTTGCTTCTGGTTCTTATCAGTATGAACCCAACGTGTGCCGATGATCTTCGTGCCCGTGGGTAACTTCGAGATCTGGGTCGGAGTGAGGATTTCCACGGCATTGAACTTCATCCATGAACTCCATTCCTTGGCCATTGACTGGGTGAACGCCTCACGATCCTTCTCGGTGAGGTCCTTTAGCTTAACTTCAGATCGCACTGCCCGGCCGGTCAAGAATACGTCCGCCGAGGTAATGAACACGTCAAGGTCGGTGCCCTCAATCTCGTCTTCCGTGTCGGTCTCGTAGATCGATTCGTCCCCAATCATCTTTCGCAGTCGTGACTCCCGAACCGAAGTCGTCATGAAGGGGGGGTCCCAGTGATCCTCCTCGGCGAAGTAGGGACCATCAGAACGAGGTGGGCGACTCTGTGGCCGGACGGGAGCGTAGCCATCTAGCCTGTCAGGGTTTTGCATCGCCGAACTCAAACTTTGGCCATCCGCGGCCGGTGTGTCTCGAGGTCCGGGCGCAGGTAGAGGAGGTTGTGGTTCTGGTTCGCTGGACATAGTCGACACCTGGCGGGGAGCAGTTGCGGTCACAGCTTGTGGTTGAAGGTCAAACTCCATTGGTGTACCATGGTCGCCCGTCCTTTCGTTTTGCCCTGTTCCCTGGACCCGGGGCAGTGTCTCGCCGATCGCCTCCAACTCCCCTTGAGGATCACCTTCGGGAACGGGTGGCAAAAGGGCTGCGTCCACAACCAGCTCTGTTCCGGGAACTCTTGCCACTTCTGGTTGTAGCATAAGGATGTACCCTCGCCGGGGGAGCTTGCGTGGGCTCAGGAGACAATCCTGCTCCGGGGGTTGGCTGGGCGCGAAGGTCCACAAAGCCACGGGCTCCTCTCGCGTAAGGCGGAGCCAGCACTTCCTGGCGAACCATGTGGGCGGCCAGCAACTCGTCCTCCGAGGCAAAACGCAGCTGCTCGCCAGTAACAAGGACGACGTTCGTCCCGTACCGCAACCAATAAGCATGTGGCTGGCCCCCGCTAGTTGGCACTTCGGGGTCCTGCAGTCGGGTAGAGTTTCGGAGCTCCACGCCGATGACTCTTGCCGGTCCGTGCCACCTGAAATTCCTCTGAGCACCGGGGGGCACCTGTGCCCTGAAGAAGTACACGTAGGACCCGACCGGATACGGCCCTCTCGTTGGTGTGCTCTGCCGCAAAAGAGCTCTCCTGACGCGGCTGTCCGTGTCGAGGCGGACCTGAGCCACCCGAGCGGCTTCGCGAATCCCGAGGGACCTTGCCATCGCTGAATGAGGGTCCTCTGCTGTCTCGAGCACCTCTAATCGCTCGGCCTCCTGGTCAATGAGAAGGCTGCCCGGTAGTCTGATCTCGGGCTTGCCGAGCACCCAGGAATTTGGAGCATAGCCTGAGGTTCTAGGAAACGAGTTCCTCACTTGGGTGACGATGGTGGATGCGAGGACCACGTCATCGATCCCCGAAAGCTGCATGTCGATGACGACCTTGTCGAATATTTCCTTCCATAGCCCTCCGGCCTTCTCGGCCTTTCCCATTTTGAAGGGAGCTTCGAGGGGCATGGCTTCCTGTTCCACTCCGAAGTTCTTCAGGAAACTCGAGAAATGAGCGAGATACTCCTTTCCACGGTCGACTTGAAGGCTGTTTGGAAGCCCGGCCCAGCTGCTCCACGAGGTCAAGAAATGGCGCAGCACGACCTTTGATGCTGGAGGGCCTTGAGCTTCTCCCAGGCAGCACACAACCTGAAACCCCGTGGCATCGCAAAGGATGTTCAAGAAGGAGTAGAGCATCCCTCGAATGTCCTTGGAGTAGAAAACGTCGATCATCAAGTGGTTGTTGAACTCGTACTTTGTTGGCAATCTCACCGGCTTGGGCCTTTTCCTCCGAATTGTCTCCCCACAAGTGTCACAGGAAAGGTAGTCACAGCCACGAATTGCTGTGGGTTTTGCGCCCTGCCTCCGGAGAATTCTCTGGAGAGTCACGTTCGTTGGGTGGCCGAAGTTCACGTGGAGGTCCCGAAGAACCTTTCTCAGCTCTGGCCTCAATCTCAGCCAGTGTTTTCTCCGGTCCTGTTCAGTCATGCTCAGGACAGGATCTAGCTGCCCTGCCATGATCGCCCGGTGGCTCTGATCGTCACCGTCCGCGGCGACGGGAAGATGGGAGGCATTGGTGTCCTCTCCGATGAGCTCGGCTAGAGTTCTGTCTGTTTCGTCGTCGGGCCCTATGGGTTCGGGCCCCGACGGGCGCAAGTAGACGGGCGGTGCTTGGTACTGTTCGGTCAAGATAGAGGTTCTTCCTGCCGCCCGTTTCCACCGGAAGTGCGTCTTGTGCTTCCTTCGTTGCCGTGATCTCCACGAGGGCTTGTTGCGTCACCGCTTCCAACACCAAGGGGTAGAGCCCGGCGGGCTCTCGGTTCAGGCCCGGGACGTCTCCAGACACGGTAGCGGCCTCGAGCATGTCCCCGGACTCAAGCAGCGACTCCAGACATACGAGAGAGGTCACCAATGTTGTGGTCGAAGCTCGGTTGTTGTCCGTGTTGTGGCTTAGCCCGGGCACGACCAAACGTGTAACTTCGCCTTTCTCGACCATCCTGTTTAGTTCTTCAAGTTCTTCTCCTTCTGGCCACGGCCCAGGCACTTCCAAGATGAAATGGCGCTTGTTGGCCATCCTGCCCTTGATCACCTTCACGGCCAGAGCTGGCCTTTTGTCAATTTGCGCCTCGATCAACTTCCCGGGGCTTATGATTGGACCAGAGGGGCAATGACTGACGGGCGGGTCGAGGACGATGTAGGTGACGTAGGGGTCCTCGACCTTCATGTCGTGGTTCAGTTGTCTCCTCCCCGCAGCGTTCATGACGTAGTCCTCATCTGTGTCGAGGGTCGAAGCGACGGCCATGCCGGCCAAGACGAACAGTAGGAGGAGACCGACCCTGCCAGAAAACAATTGTTTTAGCCAGGTCTTCCCGAAAGGGGGCTTTGGAGGGAGGTTGCTCTTTCCCGAAAGCACCCTCCTGAACATGAAGTCGTCACCATCCACGGCTGCAGAGAGCGAGGTTATCTTCTTGAACTTCCGGTTCGTCGCCTTCTTGTAGTGCATGGGATCCTGGGCGACGTTCTCCTCGAAGTAGTTGACGTCCTCGCTCACCTCTCCATGGCGGTCGTCTGTTCCTCGGCCCGTCTCTCTCTCCCAGCCTAGCACATCCTGTCGCCAAAGGTCGAGGTCCTCCTCGAAGGTTCCCCTTTCGCCTGGGGATTCTCCTGGCTGCAGGACGTCGTTGTAGGCCAAGTTGGCCTGGTCCACCTCGCTCGGGGTAGGCGTGTGGTCACCTGGCCCGCTCGGCTCCAGAACATGGAGTGCGTCCTCGCTCTTCTTGAAGTCGTCGAGGGTAGCCTTGTTGAACTCTAGGAGGTTCACCGCCAAGTGGCCGCGCGAGGTCTTGTGAAGAGGGAGACCACGCACACCAATCTTTCAAAACTCACGACGCCGCGGCCAACGTCGATGCAGTTCCTCCATGAAGGGCCGGGACAGCAGAAGAGGGAGTGACCCTGGTGCCTCGCAAGAGCAGAGTTCTCCATGTACCCGCGAAAGCCCGACTGGGTAGACCTTTGTCGTGCTAGAGTGCACCTGTCCACCAACGCCTCGAAAGACTTGAGGGCGATCGAGGGCCTCAAATGCGAGGCCAAGGCGGGTCAGCTCCTCCTCGAAGCGGCTGGCCCAAACTTCGCCATGCATTGTTTTTGTACACCCAGAGTCAAGAACAGCGAGGCCTGGAGGGTCAGCCTCTGAGGTGGCAAAGTTCTCGAAAATCTCCGGGAGGTCCGTCGCCGGCGGCGCGGCCTCCTTCTCTTCCTCGACCCCGTTGCTGGTCATCATGACGTCGCACTCGTGCTCGGCAACGACGTCGAGTCTGGAGGGGTCGGTGGCGACGGGGACCTTGATTTGGCGCGTTGTGATCATGTCGCCGGGTCTTTGGACACGCTTTCCTTCCCTTTCAGAACCGCCGCCTTGCATCCTCAGGGCTGCTACCCTCACCTGCCGGAGCCGGCCGTACAAGTAGAAGCCGAACCGGTAAATCTCCGGGCGCATGGGGTTGTTGCCAAAAGCGTATGCCATGACCTGCGTGCACCACAAAGCGCCCTCCGCCGATGAGGCGGTCTCGTCAAAAGTTCGCCCGGCGAACGGAGAATCACCGTCCACCAAGTCATGGTCGGCCGGGGGCGGCTCGAGGATGTCCTGGTCGGAGAACTCCAGTACCGGAAAGGCTGGCAGTGGCATGTCTGGAGCGATGCATACCCCATAGACCCATACCCTTGATGGTACAGAGGGGTTGCCGCGCACAATCCTGGCCATTGGGGCTGGTTCCTCGCTACCGGCGGCCTCTTGGACCAGCGACCAACCAGAAAACGATGAGGAGGCAGAATGGGCCAGGTATCCCATCGGGCCTTGGGTCTTCGTGGCGACAGGCTTGCCCCCATGGTGCGTTGCGTCCCCAGCCTCCTTCTTGTCCTCGAGCACCTTCGCCTCGAAACGCAGGCGTCCAACATACTGAAATAGTGCTCGGGATCGGGCCTTTCTCCCATATTTGGTCCCGACAGCGATCAGCACCAAGAACTTCCAAAGCTCGACCGCGTCCTTTCGGTGGGCCTGAATGATCGCCTTTCCGCACTCTGGCTCCTTGCACATGATGGCCCGAGTGAAGCCGTTGGCGGAGCGGTGGAACCTCTTCTCATTGCCGCCGAAGTACTCGGCATGCTCGCAGAGGTCGTGGTCCTTCAGCACCATCAGCCCCTCGCCGCTCCTTGTCCCCATCTCGAACCGGTTGTTGAACAGGCCGTTGGGGAGCTCGGGGATCACGCCGCCGAAGGTCAAGAAGGCCTCGTGCTCCTCCGGCGTCTCGTCGGCATGTTCCGCAGGAGCCTCCACGTACATAGCGGTATGTCCTCCGCGTTTCTTGGGAACGGGCTTTTTCTTAAGGCCTTGTCCCTTCCCCGGCTTGTTCCGGTTCTGGCACTCTGGATCACCAGACCAATGGCCGCGCTGGCCGCACGATGTGCATGGCGTCACAGTTTTCAGAAAGCGGACCGCATTCTTTCGTGTCTCGCGTGCCTTCTGATCCACTGTCATCTCGCCCTTGGCTTTGAAGCCAAAAGTTTGCTGAGACCCATCGCGGGAAGTCGCCGTACTTTGGTTGCCCTTCTTCTTGGCCAACACTGCAAAGGCCTCGGCCAGCTCGGGGTCCTCAAGGTCGTACTCCTGGGCGAGGGTCTCGGCGGGATCCTCCTCATAGTCGCCTTCGGCCAGGGCCTCGTCATAGAGCTCCTGGTCCTCCTCGTCCAGGAAGGCATCCTCCTCGTTCTCGTCCTCGGCGTCCTCATAGGTGGCGAGCGCATAGCCTCGCTGCTTCCCTTTACCCTTTCCCCCTTTTTGCCGAGTGCGCGTAGGGGAAGTCGGCGTAGGGCTCGCCCTAGTGCAGCCGAGGTAGTCCCTACGGTGCACCGGCTTTCCAGAGCAGGCCGGGAACTGGATGCGCAAGGCGTGGGAGATCTTCTGCAGGTCGTACTCATTTCCCACGGAAGACAAAACGTTCAGCTGTTCCCGGGCATCGAGTCCGCCGAAGGCCAACAGCATCATCGCTCGCAGGTTCGTGGGCACCGTCGCCCCAGTCAGGGCGTCCTCCAATCTCTTGAAGTCCTGCTCGCGGCGCACGATGTACTGCTGCATGCTCTCGCTCTGCATTCGCCAAACCGACGGGCTGTAGAAGGCGACGAAGAACAGCTCGTTGACCTTCACCGGTTTTTCTGGGCCGATGTTCTCCTTCAAGGTAGTCAGAAGGAGCTTCATCCCCTTTTCCATCGGCTTGCCTTGGGCATCCTTGGTCATCAGCTCGGAGTGGGTCAGTTTTCTCACTGCCTCATAGGCCACGCCGCCAAGGCCCGCTCGCAGGTGCACTGGTGAAGCGGCTTGCTGTCCATCATTTCCTTCTCTCCCGTAGTACAGGTCCCAAGCTCGTTCTGCGTACTCCTCGTAGAGCTCCGGCTCGCCTGAGTACTGCGGGACACCGTACCTGTCTACGTCCAGCTTCGCCGTAGGAAACATATCCGCGGGGGAAGCTCTTAAAAGCCGCCGACACAAAGGTGGGCGTAGAGGACCTGGTGGTAGTCCAGGTAGTTAGCGTAGGGCTCGTACAGGACACGCGGGTGTCCAAGCGAATGCCTGAGTCAACAGGCTCCGCTTACCATCAAAATGCCACAGACAGCGAAGTGGCACGACGGCTGTTTTCAACCTCAAAAAGGGCGCCCTGGTGAGCCGGTGCCATCGGTCAGGCATACAGCTATACACATGCCGCTCTCAAGCTTCTGCACACGCGGATGAGTTTTCACACTTCATATGTCAATGTGCATGCAGGGCGGTTGCTGATCCTACACGGACTCAATCCGTGTTGCATGCGTACGTACATGAGTACTGGTCCGCGGAGGCACGTTTTGGAGTGTGGGCTTTGGGACTGACGGTTTAGTAGAGCAGATCAAAGTCGGCCAAACGTAACCAACTGACATCCTGCGCGGAACCATAGGAGACTAAGCAGCGTGGCCTGCACCAATCGCCCCGCGTCGCGTTCTCGGAGACAAAGCTTCCACCCTGCCTCCTTTGGAGTGATTCGGAGTGATAGTTGGGCTCGAGCTTAGGAGGATCTGTTCAGAGTTTACCTGTCCAGGATCCAGCCATTGGCACGGACTGGCATCATCCCACATTGCCACCAAGCATCCGAATTCCGCAAAACTTCTTCTGGCCGCATGTGGTCAGAGTGCTCAGCATCGCGTAAGCGGAATTTACCACCCTCGCTATGGGAGGCCACTGCCTCAATGTGCCTGAACAAGCATTTCGCAATTCCTGTTCCCTACAGCACTCGTCGTCAATACAAGCAAAATGTGCAGGTACCCCGATCTGAACCCTGCACCTGCTTCCGAACTCGAGGCGGAGCTCGCACGAATCGTTGGTGGTCGTGATGCAACCATCTACGACATCACAGGACCTCGGCATTTCACAAGACTTCAATCCAGCTTGGGCCTGCCCATCCAAACCTCAGCCACGCCTAGCAATGATGCAGCTATGCAAAACTCGGGCATCAGCCCTGAGGTGAGTTTCCAGGCCGGAACACCTGGGCAAGTGGATCTGAACATCTGAGAATCCGAACATCTAACAGTGAGGACAGCAACATGGACAGCATAGCATTCATGAATTCCTCCCTGTGAAGTACGCAACTCGCACAAGACACAATCCCCGAATCTGGCACTTGGGGAGGGGGAGAAAACGACTAAGTTGATCCACGCGAACTTGGCGCAACTCTATGCACACAGACCAAACATGCGCCAGCTTGCCTGCCCAGAAAGATGTCAAGGACAGCCACGCACGCACTGAAAGTCTTGATGGCATGTTGTCCTCACACATGGAGTGCGACACAAAAACCAAAGCCAGGTATGTCAACGACCAGCAAGCGTTGGATCTGCGGTCCCGCTTCAACTGTGATCACCGTGAAACCTGCCGGCCGGACCAGCCTCTTGAGCCCAGAAACAAGGCTGAACATCCGATAATGTCCTTCTCATGCAAGCAAACTGTTGCATTGTTGCAAGTCAGCACGGTCTCCGTAGCAGCACAGCATGATTTCGAACGTTGCCTGCAGGGCCCCCTCCCTTAGAACTTCATTCAGCAAATGCTGGGTTCTGTCCTTTTCACTTTCATCTCACAACTTGGTCTTCTCATAAAAACTTCATACCTCCAAAAGTGGATCGAACGAAGTTTTTTGACACCTTCTTGGCCACAACCGTTGCCAGTTGCACCAGGATGCCTCGACGACAATGCTGTGAATCTGGCGAAAAAATATGTTTCTCTGGTCTTCTTGCAGTTAAAAGGAATCCCAAAGCTATGGGGAAGTCATAATATTCACAACGAAAAGAAGGACCAAAATTTTTTCTCCAAATCCGGTCCAGTAAGCTATATGTGATTGAAATGAAAATGGCTTCACTCGGACTTCGACTCTTGTTTTTTTCTCCTCCATGCAACGCAGTTCTGACACCGGGTCGATGGCGAAAAATGGCGAACACAGCCGTGGATGAAAGGTGAAAGACAGCGACCGAAGAGCAACCATCTTCTCCGGTCTCGCAAAAACCGTGTTGAAACTATGTCGGGCGGGTGGGTTGGAAATTCTTGGCAAGCTCAGCCTTAAACCGGTGACATGATTCAACACGCACGTGACACAAAACGACATGTCATGTGAAATCTATAATGCGGCGAAATGCAGCATCATGCCATCACATGGAAATCAATATGTTGTGAAATCAAAGAATGGAAAAATGTTTTAAAAGCTGCAAGTTCGCTTCTCTTTTGCTTTTGCTAAACCAGAACAAACTCAATATACTGCATTTCGCTCCGTTGGTCGTTTCTCTGGCCTCTTGCATTGTCGAAGTCACTGCAAAGCTGCCCTTATTTTCCGTTTGGATCGCTCGCAAAGCCTCCACCAACCTCTTGCGGGACGCAGGTTTGCGGGTTTGCTCTTGAAGGAACTCGCTCGAACCACAACAGGGTCTCCAAGGACCTTCAAGTGCGGCCACAAGCAAGATCGCGCGCAGCAGGCGCTGAGAGAGAATAGCCGGGATGAATTGAATCGGAATTGACAAGAATCGTTGTCAATAAATCAGATCGACTCTTCTTTGCCAGCGACAATGGCCAGGACGCAGGCCTCACTAGATCACCTGAGACACAACTTCCTCGTTCCATTTCACCTCCGAAGCACAGCTGCACACCAACACGGCTGTTCAAATGTCCAGCTTTTCTCAAACGCTCCGTCAGCGTGAAGAATAATGGGCGGCAGCACCGCACAGCATTGCTAAGGTGCCCTTAGGCCCCCAAGAGCGGTTTCTGGAAAATGTGTCTGGCCACGTTCACACCTCTCTCTTTCATGGTGTTGGTGCAGTGCCGCACTTATGAGACCAAGCGACTTCTAGCTGCCCGTTTTGCTAATGAAAAGAACATGCTGGGCTTGCAGCACTGAAGAAAATCAAGCTTGTGTTTCCGGGCGACTCCCAGCTTTGTGAGCTCAGCTGGATTCTTGCTGGACACATTCCACTGTTGCGTATCGAGACTACATCGCGAACCCGGATGCAGCAAGCTTACGCTGTTCTGTCAGGAATGATCAGAGGACGAGGAATACAAGTCATCCAGCGAGTGTCTGCCGGCACGCTGATGAAAGCTTTCGACATCTTATTCAATTGTACCAACCTACAAACAGAACGCACTCCCTCACCGCGCTCACTCCGACTCATGGTTTCAAAAATGAATGAGCTTCTCGCTCAACTTCTCGAACTGGAAAAGATGATCAATGATCGGCTACTAAACAATCAGACGACGACTTCAAGACACTCGCCCTGGGACTTATGCACCTTCACCGCTTTGGGCGAATTTGGCCGGCCACGGAGGGCACTCTCGATACTAGACGCGGCCAGGAAATCCTCTTTCGATGAGGACTTCGCACTGCTAGTAACGAGGACCATACAAGCTTCCACGGACCATGCGGCTTCTTACCCAGCGACCAACTGCCAACTTTCCCGATTCATCCCTCCCCAGTGGCCCCAGTGCGCGCGAAGCTCACAGGTCTACCAGCGACTCAAAAGTGGCTCGCCGCCCTTGCAGCCATCTAGCACATTTTCATTCATGCCTTCGCACAAACAGCACAACGAAACGCGAAAACACCAAACACAAAGCCTCCAGATTACATGTGTCGAATGCCAACAGCAATTAACTGCAAGTCCTGAGACTCTTACTTATGCACCTGAACCGTTGCAACCCACCGAGCTCAATCTTCCAACTTCCAACTTGCAATCACTAACATGCATCAATGAATGCTAACAAACCAGTCGAACCTGTTTGAACTGAGAGTTTAAGGTTTAGTGCGAAAGAGCTTTGGTCAATAGATGGTAGACTTGTCAATTGTGATCTCGAAAAGAAAAGAGAAACGATGACGACTGGTGCATAAGCTTTGGTAGCTTGAGTGTTGAGTTCAGTCTTGAGCCAAAGTTGCGTTGTATGCGGAGCAAATAGAAGGCAACCTGTCACGCATAAATGGACATATCGGTCGCATGAGGCGTCCGTATCTGAATGTGACGACGCTTCGAGGTCCGTTCGCAACCTCCATAAGTTGCCTCCGGCAATGCTCACTCGGAAGAGAGCTGCGATCAGACAGAAGTTGCGTATGCGTAAAAAATTCCGACTTTGGTATTTGAGGTAAGAGCTTTGCATCTCTGATTAGAAACATTCTCTATGGGCCACTGCCCAAGTGCGATCCCCAAACAATGCATGACGGCAGAAAAGCCACCGTAGGTCAAGTATGTGACAACGATCACCTGCATGTTGAAGTCTAAACATGCTCTGTCAACCCAAAAAGCAGGTCCCCTGCCCACATGAACAGAGAGCCGGTTTGGCGCTGAGACGACAAGCCTTGTCGATATTGCTTCGTGAAGCAACGAAATCGCTTTGTGAAGCAAATGGGGTGAAATTTAGATAAGGAAGAAAACCAAAGTTCAGAAATGAAAACAAACGAAATCGCTTTGTGAAGCAAATGTAGGGTGAAATTTAGAGAACAAAGTAAATAAAAAGATGTTTTTGCTTTGTAAAGCAAATAAAGAGGTTTCAAAGTGTTTGGAAATGGGGAAGCCAAACAAAGAATTGGTGACCAAATACGAAAACCCACAGGTTGCAAGGAAAACCTCAACATGCTTTGTGAAGCAAATGGAGGGTAAAATGAAATCAAAAACTTTGAAAGCCTCTTAAAGCTTCCTTCAAGCACCCTTGCACCCTTGAAGCTTCCTTCAAGTCCACTTGAAGCTTCCTTGAAGCTTCCCTTTAAAGCTCCTTTTAAAGCCTCTTGAAGCTTCTTTAAAGTCCTCTTGAAGTCTCCTTGAAAAGGTCGCCTTCAAAGCCCCTTCATGTGAAAAGTTTGCTTCTTTTACGTTTGCTCTTGAGTTTGAGCAAGGGTTTCAAGCGTTTTGCCTTGAACTGCCGTGTCTCTCTCTAGGGAGGGTGTCCCCACTCTCCCTTCTGTGTCAGCTACAAGCCTCGTTTCGAGACATAGGTCAGAATTCCGTACTCTACAGGCCTGTCGATTCTAGAACGTGCAGACGGGAGCTCAAGCAATGTTTGGGGCTGAGAAGTACTTGCAAAGA